AATGACGCAATTTCTTAGAATTTCGTGGCTTTTCGTACAACATATAATTTTTCTTTTTGTTAATATTTACTAATAACTTGTTATATGACTGTAAATAATATAAAAAATATTTAAAAAAAATTTTAAGCAAATTTCTTTACACATTAGTTATTCTTTGACAATCCAGTCATTTTGACTGCTTTTGGGCAACATAGCCATATACTAAGTTTCAGTCTTTCTAGTAATAAGATCATATTTTTTTCTATACAGTAAACTCATACATCGGATGTTCAACGCTGTTTAAATAATGAAATTATTGAGGCTTTGAAACTGTTGTCAAAGTTAACCGAATTTCTACAAAGTTTTAGTTTTTAATCGTCTGCCACTCTGTAAAATATTTTTCAAAAAGCGTAGTTGTTAGGATAGGAACTCTGATTACAGTGTTAGATGGCTTCGTACTGTAAAGTAGTAAATTTCAAATTACTACTTACTGCAAGTTAATGTTTCTAATAATTCTTAGAAAAAATAATTTAAAATATTTTTTTTTAGATATTCATTCTCGGGAGTGTATTCTGTCGCACGTTAGTTTATCCCAGATTTGTTTTTCTATAAGAAAACTTTATCTTAAGCTGAAAAAAAATATCTATAGAATGCAGATATTTCTTATTTGCAATTATTTGAAAAAAATATGCCATTAAAGCTTTCAAACAGAGAACTTCATTTGCAATGATTTTTAATGAAAATTACGCTAATAAACACTCTATGTAAATTTTCATACAATCAGAAAGCTAAAATCACTAAATCGGAAATTCAATCTAAGGATTGAATTTCTTATTTCTGAGCAACAGTTATTTCTAACAATCAAGCAAAATAAACAAAAAATATTTGACGAAGCTTAAATTTTTAACAAACCTTAAAAAGTACAATAAAAGTTTTTTATTGTATTAATGTCATTATTTTTTGCTCAGTAAAATAATGTGTGTTTCCAGGCGAAAACACATTATACAAAATAATTGAAAGTTTTCTGAGTTCATTTTCGTGAAATATAGCAATTTCGCATAATTCTTCGAAATGCGCTAAAATGCTTTTTTGCAGGTACTATTCGTGTAAGTTTTTTTAAGGAAATAAGATAAATCTTATTTTAGAAATAAATATTCATAATCTTTACTTAAAAAGTCATCGAACTTTTGTTATCATTTTTTTAATAAAATAAATATGAGCTTTCATCTGTTGCGCGTAAATGCAAATTGATTAGAAACTCACCAGATGAAAAACGTTGCCAATCTAATAAACGCTTGAAAATCAATAATTTATTAGGATATTTTGTAGAGCAACTAATAAAAATTCAATTTAAGAATTTTTTGTGAAATTATCTTTTGAGATCAAAAAGGTTAATATTTACTTCCGTAAACTTATATAAAATGGTATAAATCTGCAAGGTGAGATATTACGCAGGTAAATGAGATTTTTTTATATAGCAGCAGATGATTTTTATTCTCATTGTCAAGGCAACAATAAAACTAATTTTATCTAGTCTAAATAATTGGTACTTGCGCTTCAAGAATGCGAAGATTAATTGGTGTGAAATTAATTGAATACCGAGCCATATCGAATATCGAATTCGTTGAACTATAATTCTTTATCGTCTAAAATTTCGTGCCTCAATTGTTCATTATACGCTTTTTTTTTATATGCCGCCGGGATTAAAAAAAACTTCCAAAAGTTAGAAATAATGCGTAGAAGTTCGATCAAATCGAATAGAAAAATAAAAGTTTTTGTATTTTTGAAAGTAAAATTTCAATATTTAGTTATTTTATTTTATTTTATGACCGTCGTTGAACAGCATACAAAATTTTTGGGCTTACGACTACTAATATAGCCTTGTAATTTTGAACCCAATCCAGAAGAGAAGGAAACTCAAGGATTAAGTATTGGGAGAAATTTGCCTTCGTGGAGGACTTTCTGATGGAACTAACCCGCATTTGCTTTACATGGTGAGGAGGAGCACGAGAATCTCCCACGGTTAGCCTGACGGCTATGGGACTCTAACCCATGATCTGTCTGCCACTGAGGATATATCACGTCAGCACTGTGGTCAGTGCAAGTCGGATGCGGAATTCGTATCGACCAACCATCTCCGGGATTCGAACCCTATGCACTTCATTGGAAGGCGAACGCTTTATCCCCTGAGTCATCGAGGCAGAATAGCAGTCCACCTCCATGTCCATCGTTTCGGTCTTTTCTAATTGTTTTATAGCCCTTGAGCTTGAAAATGTAATTCGCAACTGGTGCTGGAAAAATCGCATCTAATTTTACAGCAGAATTGATAGCCATTTCTATGGCTGTCGAAACGTACATCAATCTTGAACCTTCGGAGCAGCTTAGTGGTATCACCATCTTCAGCGACTGCAGGTCTGCCTTACAGGCCCTCAGCAAAGGTACCTCAAGCCTTGTCCTGAATATCATAGAACAACTTGGACAACTTCAGCGTCTCCGGAAAAATTGCTTCTTGCAGTGGATTCCCGCTCATGTGAACCTAGAGTTCAATGATATAGCTGATTCCTTGGCTAAAAATGCCAGAGATCTAAATCAAAATTCAATCCCAACCACGTTGGCAGGTGCAAATGCTTTTGCAAAGTCAAGACTATTCACCCCTTTAAAAATCAGAGCCCACGATCAAATAACTAATCTTGACATCGATAGGAAGACAGCCACTACTCTCATCAGACTAAGAACAAAACATCATAANGACCCAATTTTATGAGTTTACGACTAGTAATGTTCAACTACGTAGCCTTGTAATTTTGAACCCAATCCAGAAGACAAGGGAACTCCTGGATCGAATATTGGGAGAAACTTGCCTTCATGGAGGACTTTTTGATGGAGCTAATCCGCATTTGCTTTACATGATGAGGAGGACCACGGGAATCTCCCACGGTTAGCCTGACGTCAATGGGACTCTAACCCATGATCTGTCTACCACAGAGGATATATCACGTCAGCGCTGTGGTCGATGCAAGTCGGATGCGGAATTCGTATCGACCAACCATCTCCGGGATTCGAACCCGATGCACTTCATTGGAGGGCGAACGCTCTATCCCCTGAGCCCTCGAGGCAGAATATTTATTTATTACAAAAAGTTTAATTTATAATTGAACTCTAGTGAAAATTAACAGGGGTTAGTGGTAACTTTTTTTCTCTAGCATGTACGAGCAGCCGAACTAATCACCGCCTGGTAAATGCCCAATAAAGAACGTTAAATCCACTTTTGAATTCATTTTAATTTAACTTTTTGTTCCATTAATTACTTTTATGAATATTATTTTTGACTAGGATTGAAAAACTGCATTTTGAGTTAAATTAAACATAGAACACTCTGTAGTAACTCTTAAAAATAAAAACAGAGAGTAAAAAAAAAAAAATTTCGAGCCAATTTCCATTCTAGTAAGAATTGTCAATTTTACTTTATTTGTTGGATAAATAAAAAAAACATTCTTATTAATTCCCATTTATCAAAACAATTTAAAAAGGAGCAATGATGATCATCGTTAATTGTCTTAAAAAAAAGTAATATAGTATTGACTGCACTTAGGATACGCTTGAAACAATAAATTAGATGATTAAGCAAATTTATTTAATAGAAACGAGCAATCTCTTAAGTCCTGTAGTATACTACAATGATAGGTACTTATATTGCAATAGTGGTAGATATTATTTTTTTCAACGCATTTTAAATTGTTGGAATGTTTACTCATACTATTTTTAATGCATCGCGTCGCCTTCGCTTATAGCATTTTGAAAAAAAAATTTAGATTTTGTTTGTTAGTAATTTTCATTCTTTCTTTTTTTTTCATTTTATTTAATATATTCATTGTTATTTTAATTTTTATTATTTTAAAATTTTTACTATTTTTTTTATTATTTTTTTATTTATATTTTATTATTATTATTATTATTTTACTTTTTTATTTTTATTATTTTTTTATTTTCACTTTAAATGAAATAAACTTCTAGTACAGATACAAATTATGTTACAAACAACAACTTGAATACTGTTCTAAATTTTTCTGAGGAAACGAGACCATTATGCAAGATAGTTTTTTATAAAATGGCTTTTTTTAGAAAGCTTCATGCCTTTCTTTTTCTATTTTGAGAAAGCTTTACGAGCAAAAATCAAAAAATTAATACAAAGAAATAAACTGAAACTTATTTACGAGATCAAATGAACATCGTGCAAATTTTTAAAATACAAACCGCACTCAGAAAGAAAAAACTTAACATATTTATTTGCATTAAAGATAAATAATTTGTCTCATAAAAGTAAGGGCAAGATGTCAACGCACTTTCGTTTCTCAACATTTCTTACGTTTAAGTATGAATTAGACTTAAAACTCCATTTGAGTTAAAAGCATGATGTTGCAATTTTTTATGTCAAAATGCTTCGTGGAGTTCGAGACGAATATTTATAGAAAGCCTTCCGCATTTTACTTCCGCTTCGTGTTGTGACGGCAGTTAAAATAATCGCTGCGCACGTGTTAGCTGTCTTATACTCAGTTGGTATGTATCCTTCGTTAAAATAATTAATTTTATTTAATTATGAATATTATATTCATAAGTATATTAAGACAACTACACTGGTTATCATAAATTAAGGAAAAATCACAAAAATAGCGATAACTCTTTCAAAAGTAAGCCAAACCGTGCAAAATTTGCATATGTTGTCCACTAAGAGTAGCTGAGTAAAATTGCAATATGCAAATTAGTGGCGCTGCACTCGGCTTACGTCATCTGCCTNCATTAAATTAAATTTACATCAAATGAACATCATACAAATTTTTAAAATACAAACCACACGCAGAGAAAAAAACTTAACATATTTATTTTCATTAAAGACAAAATCTCATAAAAGTAAGGGCAAGATGTCACCGCACTTTCGTTTCTCAACATTTCTTACGTTTCAGTATGAATTAGACTTAAAAACTACATTTGAGTTAAAAGCATGATGTTACAATTTTTTATGTCAAATTGCTTCGTGGTGTTCGAGACGAATATTTATAGAAAGTCTTTCGCATTTTACTTCCGCGTCGTGTTATGACGGTAGTTAAAACAAGCGCTGCGCACGTGTTAGCTGTCTTATACTCAGTTGGTATGTATTTTTCTTTAAAATAATTAATTTTATTTAATTACTAGCCGCCTGAGGCGGCCAGCTGTCCGCCATGCTAAAGGTTTTCACAAATAAGGTTTTTTAAAACATAGCAGGAAAGCGATTATCATATCAAAGCGAAGTGTTCTATTTACGTATCGAATATGTTGCCACATTTTTGATACAAAAGTTAAACTTTTCTCCACTTTGATAAATGTAAACTAATGCGAACCTTAGAATTAAATTATTAATTCCTTCGTGTATTATTAGTTTAAGTTGTCGAAAATTAATATTTCAATTGTAAGGTTCGCATTAGCATACATTTATAAGAGTGGAGAAAAGTATATGCATTTTTCAATAGTTTTTTGAATGTGGCTCTTTGAAGACAAAAAAGCATAGATTTTCTTTCAAAATGACTGATAACTTAAAAACTAATCCAAATTTTTGAAAAAGAAAAAACATACTTCTTCATTATGTCAAAACACAATTATGTGCCGAGTTTCGCGCCTGGGCGAGACTTCTGGGGCGATACATTGTGAATACAGACAGACAAATAGACACACAGCCGCGTTTGTTATTATGTATAGATGAATATAAACTTATAACTCAAAAACTTATAACTCATATTTTTATTAGGAGACAATGACATTTTCCTGTCAAAGTTTTTATTTATTGTTGTACATACATGTGCGCATAACAAAAAGGGTTTATAAACCTTTTTCTAGTTAGAGATGAAATCCCAATTATTAGAGAAGGGCATTACAAAGCTGGATCTTGTGTTATGCAGTGAGATTCGAATCCGCTACCACGCTACACTACGTTTGTCAAACCGGCGAGACAGCTAGGCTAAGAAAACCCTGGAGATAACTGCAGAAGTGTTCGACTTCTTGTGAGAATGAATAGATATAGTGTTGCCATCTCTCGACAAAAACTCGTACTACGGGAACAAAATTAAAACTAGTGTTAGATATAATTATTTAGAGTAAAGAAGTTAAATTTTCAATGGATTTGTTTAGGATAATCACTTTTTACCTCCGAGTTTTTTATATGCGCTATAGTGAAAAATTTCAACAAAAAGGGAAGCTGTTAAGCATTATAAGCGAAATATTTACCGTAAAAAAAAACATATAGATTTATAAATAACTTAGAGAACAATGCAATTCGGAAAATATAAATACTTTTAAGGCAATATAAATACTTTTAAGGCAAAATTACATTATTGACGATTTTTTATTTTAAAATAATTCTTCGACCTTTTAGACCGTCATTCTGTCTTTTTTACCTTAAAAAAATTTAAAAAAACACTAATACAGTCACTTACTGTACTCATTTTGCTTTTGTAATAGAGCAAGAAAATGGAATATAACGAGAGGTCACTGTGTATTAAGGAAAAACGATAACGTACATGAATTTCTTAGGCCAAATTTGTGATAATATTAATCATAAGCAATAGCACTATTTTATTACTTCCGTTTGTCACCTATTGTTACTTTTTCATAATTTTTTCAGCGTTTAAAAGAAAAACAACCGGAACACCTAATTATTTTGATCTAATGTACTTATTTTTAACGTACCAGCGAGCACTTTTTATAAGTTGAGGGATTGTGCAGGCGATACTTTAAGATAAGAAATAACACATAAAAGTATACTTTCTCTGAATGAACATATATTTTTCTCGTCGTATTGATATGGACCCTTAAATTATAGGGGTTAGCCGAAACCTTGAAGAAATAGTCCCAATAATTTGGTTAGGAGAAAGGTCGAACAGTTAATTTCATTTTCGGGTGCTTTGCTGCACATCAGGAACTATTTGTTCCAATCAAAAAAGCATTGCACATAAAAAGTGTTACGAAAATATAAGATGCGCAAATTTTTTATATCATCTTTAATTATGTTGTTTAAATAACAAATCTAAAACCTAAATATAATCGATCATAATTTAATATTATTATCAATAATTATTGTTATAAAAATAGAATTAATGTTATGTAAGTTTATAAAAACAATAATACTAAATTTAATCAGATATTTGATTAGTAATTGCACTGTATCTCCCAAATCCCCTTCTATGTCTCTAATCCGTATCTGACCTCCTTTTTCGGGGGAAATTCTCCGTCAAATATTTATCACTTTCTTCATTTTGGATGAAGAATAATTTTAATAGAATAATTATTGGATGAAGAATAATTTTAATTTATTAAAGAATAATTTTAATTATTAAGTTATTAAATTTTTGCTAGTTGGCAACAGAAGTGAAAAATTCAAAATATGAATATTTAATGCGAAGAAAGAGATTCGAGTATTCGCTTCCTTAAATTTAAAAAGAAAATTCTAAAATAGGATCAAGTTTTCTTGCATTTTTGAAATTATTCTGTTTATTTTATACATATTCTATCCCTCTGTTTCTAACCCAAAACTACTCTAAATGATAAAAATGCCTGGCCACAAACGAGCGAAGAGGGTTGCGCCTAATTCTTGCAAAAAAGTATGGAAGATAATTGCACAAGGGCGTCCGGACCTCACGTTCCCACCGGGAATGGTCATAAGATTATCAAAAAATCATAAACTTAACATCTAAAAATCTTAAACTTAAACTAAATCATAACCACCACATACAATGTTTCTAGAAAATTGTACGTGGTGGGGAAAAACGTTAATTGAAATTCAGGTTTAGAACATAATTTTACATCTTCATCAATATCTGCAAAAATTATGCCTAGGATTTTTTTTACAAGGTAGAGTGATGTTGTGAAAAAATATTGATCTAACAAATTTTACTTCAATTAAAAAGAACAGTTCCCAAAATGAACAGTTCACGAATTCGAAAACAAATCATGACTTTATTATAAGTACATAAATTTTAATACTTTTTCGAAGAGAAAAAAAAATTCTAAGTAATACAAATTTCTCAAGTAAAAATATATATTTATGTATGCTTATAGTGTATATCTATTTATGTAAGTATGTATTTAAGTATATTTATGCATATGTAACATTATCTTTCTCTGCCATTTCCATTATGTCATTACACTTTTTTATCTACATTTCATTTTTTCGATTCTTTTTAACTTTGTGATAACTTAGTTTATTGACTAACTCTTTCTTATCTTACTATTTCCTTTGTCTAGATTAATATGACTGGTTTTTATCGTGTCGAATAGCTATCATGCCACGTTAAAGATTCAAATCCCGATTACAAATCTATGAAAGTATATTTTTAATCAGGAACAAAATCTGAATATGTAGCTAAAGTTTAAAGAAGAAAAAAAAAGCACAATGACAAGTGAAATGAATGAAAACAATATTAAAGAAGAAGCTTTTAGACTTTGCAAGGATTTCCTAGGCCAACCATGGACTGACATACCTATTTCTAAATTTAGCATTTCAACTGTGAGGTAAGATGATTGTTATGAAATTTTTAAATAATTAGTGATTATTTGTGAAACATACATTTTGTCATGTGATTCGAAAGTTCTAATATATACTTAAATTTACGCTTAATAACTGTTATGAAATTTGAAAATAATTAGTGATTATTTGTGAAATATACATCTTATCATGTGATTTGAATGTTTTAATGTATTCTTAAATTTACACTTAATACGTTTAATGCCCGAAAAGTTATGGATTTTACCTTTTGGCATCATTTACCAATATATTTAGTGGTTTTTGATTTTAAAAAAATTTTTAATTTGAAATAAATTGGAAAAATTAGAAAATTTTCATATTATAAGCCTGATGAGAAGTGATCGTAAGTCGTAAGTAATATCTAAACTCCAAAATTTATTATGTCAAACTTCTTGGACTTATTACGACAGTTAATTAAGGTTGCATTTAATGAATTTTTTAAGGCAGTTGTTTGGATATTTTTTTAAGTTCTAATTCTTTATAGTTTTAAGACTTTTTTTAAAAATTTAGTTTCAGTTAAATATTTTTGAATCAATTGATTTTATGTGTCTAGTAGCTAGATAAATTTTGGTTGCATAAGGTCAAAAAGCAGCAAATTTTGTGATTAAGCTCTATTTTTCTGTAAGGTAATCAAACTTTTTTATTACCAGTATTTTAATATAAAAAAGTGAAACTATAGCTTTAAGAAAATTACGTTTTAACATTTTGATATTTAAGAAATATTAAAAAGTACGCATCTAATATTGATAACAAAAAAGTACGATGTGAAAATCTGGAACCGATAGCCGATGAGTGTAACCTTAGTAAATCTTTCTCTCTACAGCAAACTAAAAGGCCAAGAAGTGTTTGGAATTTATAAAATTTCGAAAATCAGAATCTTGCGAACGAAAATAAAAGCAAGTTACGGAAAACATATAAACCTTTAAGCTAGTTTTCCCTAAAATATCACTTAAAAATTTCATCCAGCAAGTTTTTCAAATGTAAAATATTTAAAGCTTATGAAAATACTGAATAATATAATTATAACTGTAATTTAATTAATTGTAATAATATTTAGAATTAAAAAAGTTGTTTCAATATTAAAAATTTATTTAGATGGAATTACTTCATGAATTATACTTACTTTTAAAGTTTCTAGTCTATCACCAAGTTCAATATCTCGTAATGAAATAATACTAATGAAGTAATAATAATAAAGTGTAAAGAATTTGATTTAAAAATTATCCTAATGATTTCTGTTAGCTTATGTGGTTTTAAAATGGATCCTAAAAATGAACCTCACTAACCCGTTAAAATAGTGACACCAATGTCTGGAGACCATAGTTGAAATACAGGTGGAGCGCACCCGTTTAAAAAATCTAATAAAAATTGTCCTAATGATTGTTTCTGAAATCTTATGGTGATATTTTTGATAATAAAAATGAACCGCTTAAACCGGTTTAAATAGTGATACCAATCTCTGGAGACCATAGCTGAATACCGGGGTAATGCACTAGTAAAAAGAAAGTGATGAAATATGATCCATTCATTAACACTTAATGGTATATTGTCTGCACATAGTTGACATACAGGTTAAGAAATATTTTTGTTGGAGAAATGTAACATGAAGTGCAGCGATGAAAAAAGCTTAGAGAAATGTGCTACTGTACGTAAACACAACTCGCAAAATAATATTTTGGATTTATATATTATCGATAATTTCCTATCGACTAAAATACGCAGAATTTTTCAAGACTAGTATTGCTCTTAGTTGAGGTTACACCGCGCAGATATATGACAAGTAGGTAGATAGGTATTTAATTTATGCCTCACTGCAGTTTCACGATGGGCTATTGGTGACAGTCTGGGAAATATCCCCGAAGATGATCAGAAGACATGCCATCACAATTTTGATTCTCTCCAGAGTGAATGGCTCCTCAGCTTTGGTAGCTTTTGCTTCAATCACGTTGCTTTTTGAGTCAATCAGTAAGGATTCTTCCATCAATAAACACAGCAATAAAGCATCCTTCTTACAATTATAGTCATATATGACTTCTATGATTATTATGTAAATGTTTGTGAAGAAATGCTTAATGTTTTTATAAAAATAGAACTATTTATAGCTTTTGTAAAATAAAAAATAAATCAATTTTAGTAAAAATTGAAAAAAAATAACTTAATGAAATAAAAATAATATATTTTAATAAAAGTAACAAACCGATATATGTCAAAAATAACATTAAAAAAACAGCATTTTAAAAATAGTTCACAGCTGAGTACCTATTATTGTAACTAATTCTGAAATTCGGATAGAAATTCCTCTCTTTTATTTCATGGAACTCACAATATTCCAGTAGGGAATCACTTATGCAATACAATCAATTCTTTTTTAAATAAATTTGTGATTAATATTCAAACATAGCGGTGGCGTCTCAAATGCTCTCTATTGCTGCTCCCTTGCAAACGATGTGGTGATAGAAAATGCGAACACACCTCGCAGAGTGCTGTTAAGGATCTATGGACCACTACAGGAAGAAGAGCATAAGAAAGTGACCGAAACAACTACCTTTGTGATCTTGTCTGAGAAAAAATTAGGACCCAAACTGTACGGAGTGTTCCCAAATGGAAGAATCGAAGAATATATACCAGTAAGTGTTTCTTTATAAACTGAACCTTCCTTACTTTTCTGCTTTTTAAGAGAAGTCTGTAGGAGATATACCAATAATGCTAAAATTGACCTTTTCCAATGGACCTTTTCTCAGCATCTAAACAAGATATTGCTTCAATTTCTTTCAGAATATTTACATATACATATTTACACTGTGATAGCTGTTAATGAATATCTTTGGCAGAATTTTTTTTTAAATAATGAACTGAGATCCTTAAATTTTTCAAAAAATTTTAATAATTTTTTAGCAAACTTTTTTATTCCTGTTAACGCTAAAAGATTATCATAGCATACAATTGATATAGCCCAGTGGGTAGAGAATTGGACTTCGAACCAGACGGGCCGGGGTTCGGTCCTCTACCCCACTAAAGATCCACCGAGTACATGCGATATACGCCTCCTCGTAAAATCTATGAAATCGAAGGTCCTGTGGTCGGTCACTGAGCTGTATCATGGGTACAGGGATCTGGAGAAAATTTTCTTCCCCTTCAGAACTATGTCAAAATTGAAGAAGTGGTCATCACAAAATTGTGATGCATGTCTTCTATACTTTTTGCAAAGCAATAGTTATTCCAAAATTTTGCTCAAAAACTGTAAAAAGTACAATGAGGTAAAGAAAAAAAGATGATTAATTTCGTTGTCATTAGATAAAATTTTCAAAATATTAATGTACACAATATTTATTAATGGATCATCCTCCGGGATGTTTTCCAAATCGTCGCCAATAACCCATTGTGCAGCTCACGTGTGATGTAAATAAAGTACCTGAAAATGAGGCACCTACGCATGAGGAAATTCGATCTAATCTCAAATATCCCCCAAAAATTCCATTCCAAAGCGATATAAGTAGTTTCTTAGAAAAAATACATAGAAAAAGTTCAACTTTAACATTATGAATATATGCCCTGCTGATTCCCTTTAACCGAACTTAAGGCTTGCTTATGTACTTGGGAAAGCAGGCAATTCTTAATTTGCCATAATAAATTCAGAATTTACCATAATATAATCTCCTTATTTTTTCTGAAATGAGCCATTAATGTTACAACTTTTCCTCTCTCATAATGAAATAAATAACATTGTTTTTAAATTTTCAAAGTTGCTTAAAGAATGTCAGTCAAATCTTTGTCAGCATTCCTTGTAAAGATCAGTTTCGGTTAACAGGCAAACTTGTTAAAGCTCCATTTGCAACCATTTAACAAAGTTGATTATTATCTAAGTTTATCGATTGCCAGATAAAATATCCCCAATTCTTGAATAGTAAAAATATTCTTTACAAGTTTCAGTGACCTCCCATCCCTGCGACCTTATCAGCATTTGTTACAGGGAGACCGGCAACTGTTAGCTCTACACAAATATGACTCTATTACTATATTCATTTGGAAGTATCTTAAACTAACACTGTGGTTACGAACGGTTTTAATCCGAACACTAACTGAATTCTTGTCATTTGCAAATATATTTTAAAACCAAGTTTTACGTAATAACTAACACTATACCTAAAAATTCACTTGACTAAATACCATTTAACCACATGCACAGCGTGCGAAAAAAAAAATAAACAGACCACCCTGAATAACTTTTGATCTAATGATCGGATCTTCACGTTCTAGGACAATCTTAATGCTTCGAGGGAGTGATCTGAAATATGCTAATTAATTAGTGCAGTCACGATATCAGACCCAAAAACGTACTTTCTCTGAATAAGCACACGTTTTTTTTTTCAACGGATTCGGATTCCATACCAAACTGGGAGCATATTTCCCAGATTGCGGCTACCTCTGATATTTTGAGGGTCGAAAATCCGAATTTGTTGAAAAAAAAGCATATTTATTCATACCTTAAAATATATACTAATTAGCATATGTGAGTCCATCCCTTTGAACCATTAAGATTAGGTTCTAGAAAGGTCCAATCATTAGATCAAAAGTTATGGAGAGTGATCCCATTATTTATTTATTTATTTTGCACACTGTAAACATGCGTCGATAAGTTTTGGTCGATGTTCCCATAATCAACCCTTATTGTATTTTAATTGACGATTCTAATTTAATTTATTAATTTCTGAATCTGTGATGACCTACGTCACATCTCACTTTTATAAAGTGTTATTCCTAAAAAAAACCGGTACTGAAGAAGGTAACCGATTTTCTTGAATAGAGTCAGTTAGTGGGAATAGTTGATGTTATTCTTTTTGCATAGTATAAAAATTTAAGTATAATAAGATTAAAGTATCTCTTTAAGGAAAACGTTAGCTACTTTAAATTTTAATCAAAGCATTTCATGATTTTTTAGTTGAAATTTGTAGCCCTCCTTTAGCGAAATCTGCATCTTGTTATTGCAATATCTGTAACCTGTTATGCTCTTCAAAGTAGATCGTTGTTATTGTTGTAGTTAAAGTTCATTTACGTCACACTAGAGCTGTACAATGGGCTATTGGCGACGGTCTGGGAAACATCCCTGAGGATGATCCGAAGACATGCCATCAGAATTTTGATCCTCTGCAGAGGGAATGGCACCCCCGCTTTGGTAGCCCGACGACCTGTACGCGAAGCTGTGCACTTTACGGTAGAACAGTTCAACAAGGAGCCATACTGCACACCCTCGGTCCCTACGCAGACTGATCCAAGTGGTCACCCACTCGCTCACTGACAGCAGCCAGTGATGCTTGACTTCGGTGATCTGCTGGGAACCGTGTCTTAACGACCAGTCCACTGAGGGACAAAAGTTGATCGTAGTTTAATTATTGAGATACGAATTTTACATAATGCTTTCCCGAGAAGGAGGGGGGGAGAGTTCAAATGATAAATAGTTTAATGAAGCATTGCTCTAATAATGCTCTTTCCTAATCTTGAAGATAGTTCATTTTTGGTTTATCCTACTTTTTATACATTACTTTGTACTTGCAGTCAAAACATTTGCCCTCACACGATCTCAGGAGGTTGTCTACATCAATTGCAAGATCTATGGCTAAGATTCATGCATTGAACCTACCACTCAGAAAAGCACCGGATACATGGTTAAATCACGTGACAAAGTAAGTGACGTCAACTTCTAATCGACTGGAGTTTCTGAAGGCAAACTGAATTTTGACACTCTTTACACGCTTTAAAAATTCAACACTGATAAAACTTCTCCTCTGAATTTTAAAAAAAATATTTCCTGAGGCAAGAACTGCAGAACTATATGATTTTATCGGTTACTTCAAATTTCGACACTTCATAAAAAAAATCACCACAGTTTTAACGGATTTTGGGAGATTTTATCAAGTGTTTACATTTTTCTGGATTGTTAAAATTAATATGCGTTTAAACGACAGAAGGCATCCGTCTCTAATAGACTGTAAGGTATTTTCGGTCATTGTTGATATAATGTCTTAACTTAGACAGAAAATGTGTTTCTTCCCATTTTCTCACTATCGAGAGACAGTACTGGTTTACTATCTATACACACACTATATATACATATATGTATATATATATACACTATTTGGAAGAAAGTGACGGGACACGACACTGTAACGATATAAATCCATATTTATTAAAACTAATAGGAGGTAGGGCCTCCTTTGGCTGCGATCACAACTGCATCCCTTCTGGGCATGCTTTCCTATAAATTAGCCATAGTGGCAAGAGGAATTTCCCTCTAAATGCTTTACAGGAAGTTCCATAGTTCATGCTTGCTTTTGGAGACTGGGGTGCAGGTCCTCAACCGACGGTTCAATTCGTCCCAGAGATGATCAATTGAGTTAAGAACAGGGCTCTGCCTCGGCCACTCCATGCGTTTAACGTTGTCGTTCACATACCAATCAAGAGTCCTCCTTGCAACATGAGATCTTGCATTGTCGTCTTGATACAACCAATCATCCATATCGTACGTTGCCCACAAGGTAGGAAGGACATGATTGTCGAGAATATCACAGTATCCATCGGCATTCATCATACCATCAACCCTCNAACCCGTTATCCGGAAAACCAAAAAACCGGAACAAAATTCGATACATTTTCTCGCCATTTTTAAGAAAAAATTTTTTTCCTCGTAAGATTTTACGATTTTTCTTCCTTTTTTTAAAGATGTATACCTTACCATAATTTTGAAAATAATCGTTAGTGTATTACTTCATCGTTTTTTCTTATTTCTAAGATTAATTCCAATTTTTTTTTTTTTTTTTAGCTGGGTTTAACAATAAAAAAACGGCTTTTTGTAGTGATTCAGAAAACCGGAAAAATCAGGTATCCAGAATAGCGATGGTCCCGACCGTTCCGGATAATCGGTTCCCTACTGTATATACTAAACTCAACATATTAGAATATCGCTGATATCTCTTGATAATAATTAAGCGGGCAACAGCTAGAAGGGGTGAAAAAATTTTGTTAGTACATTGCTTAAGTTAGCTAGTTAACTGCAACTAGTTAAGGTGTTAGGATTGGAAGACGAGTTGAAAAATTTGAATATTTAAGTATAGTTGTGCTGCATCTTTGGCTTGGTTACTAGTAACATTTTTGCAACATAAAGTGACCTAGCCGGTTGCCAAAAGCAGCTAGTATAATTAAAAAACTGCAGTAAAGTTCTCCAAGTTTTTCCATATGCTTTATTTCAAAAAGAACGTAAAAAAATTATTGACACAGCTAAAATTGACACAGCTTAAAAAATTACCCATAATGCAGAAACTGATTACATAAATTTTTCTTCTAAAAATATTTAGATATTAAATCTTGACATTTATTTTTTAATTTGCGACACAATACACATTTTATTGAAAAATGATATTATTATGTTAAAAATATGGTTTTTAGCTTTTTTTGTCACACATCCTTAAGTCGAAAATAAATAATTATGTAAAAAAATAATCCATGTAGCTAGTTTATAAGTAGACATAAAAGTTTACCGTTTCAAAATATCTAACTCCTAAAGATATTCCTATATTACTTAAAGGTGGCTTGAAGACATAAAAAACTTCAGAGCTCGTGAAACTACAGAGGTCGTCATGTATAAAGAAGAGATGGATTTCTTAAGGTTTGTTTTGTTTTAAACGTATTTTTAATTTTAAAATTGTGCACTTAATGTACGCCAAGGTTAATAGGAAAAATAAAAAAGGGGGGGCATAATCCTAGTGTAGGTTACGCTGTGGATTGGGCGACATGTTTGGGAAGGCTATAAAGTTTGCAATCGCTATTTGTAGATTTGGCGAGATTCGGTGGGCTATTACATTTTAGCAGTTTTTCATTTGCATTGGCGTTAGTCACAGTTTAGAGACAAGCATCTACGTGTCATTACGGAGCATTTTTCAAAATAGCTCTAAGTGTGTAACATATGCTGGGATTTTACCAAAAAGAGAAACAAGAAAATGTCCAAACCTATCATAATAAATGGTTTAGACACTGATTAAGTGTTTACAGCACTTAATTATTAAACTTTTGTATAATAAATCTCTATTTTTCATACGAATTATAATATATGAATTTTATATATATATACACCGAAGAGCCATTACATTATGACCACCCTGCTAATAACATGTAGGACCACCTTTAGCCTTCAAAACTGCTAGCACCCGCCGAGGTATTGATTCCACAAGATGCTGATAGATGGTCTGAGGTATCTGGTACCAAGCACTCTCCAACTGGTCCTGCAATTCTCTCACATTGCGAGGGGGTAGCGTGGCAGCACGAATTTGGTTTTCCAAGTAGGACCGCAGATGCTCTATTGGATTAAGGTCAGGTGAATTTGGGGTTCAAGACATGACTTGAAAGTCACTGGAATGTTCCTCGACGATTCGACCCTTATGACACGGTGCATTATCTTGTTGGTAAACACTATCCCCCGCAGGAAAAACTATTGCCATGAATGAGTGAACCTGGTCTGCAACTATGTTCAAGTAGCTTACAGACGTCAGGGATTGTTCTATGAGGATTATGGGCAAGAGTAGAGCTAAACATTATCCAGTGTTATACAATTATGCTTTATACATTTTCAACTAAAAAAAGCAGAATTTATGCTTAAAATTATAACTACATTTATTATAAAAGTAATTTTAAACATACATTACCACATGTGTTCTAAAGTTCAATTGCTATTGATAAAATCCGTTAATTTTGCCGTTTATGTAAGAGTTTTTCGCTTGAAAAGCGAACAAAAAGAGAAAGTGATTTTACTGCTTTCTCTAAAAGTTAAGTGGCTTTGAAATTCAATTCAAGGTTATTTCCCCCATAAAATGCGTTAACAAGTTTAAAATGTTCTGTAATATTTTGGGAAATAGGAAAAGTGGATCTCAAAGAAAAGTTCGTTAAATAGAAAATTCGCTTCGCCATTATGTTAGTTATTTTACGAAGAAATTTCCGAAATGTTCTTGGTTCCTTGAAAAGGTTCCTAAAATAGAGAAATTATTCGCAAAAGGGAAGATCGTTATATAGAAGTCCGACTGATATATATANACATATTGTGGTGATATTTGTCTCCTTAATTGAGAAAGAATGGACTAAAATGCACTTCTTGTCATAACAACAAAAGCTCAAAATTTATGCTTTAAATTTCAGCAAAAATACCCCGGTTTACGGATAGCGTTTGAAATAATCATATATATTTACATATATAACTACTAAATTGATATATATATAAATATATATATATATTTATTTATTTATTTCCCTTACTTACTTTTCTCATAATTTTTTCTTTTAGAAAAGAAATAAAAAATTTTAGTTCTCCATCAGTTTTCTGCCACAATGATCTCGTCCAAGGTAAATTTTATAATCAAAAATAGAAATAGTTAGCATTTTATGTAAATTGTTTCATTTTTACTTGTAAATGAAATCTGTGCATTTGTAATCAAACAGAGTAAACATGATATGAAATACATGATGCTCCATAATATCCAAACTAAAAATAGAGTTTTAGGTTAGTTCTAGTCAAATCAAATGAATTTAATTCTTATCAATTATAGCAAATTTAATTTTTTACTTCTTTCGAATTCATTAAATTCGGCTGGAACAAAGAACAGAATGTAAAATACGAAGTTCGTAGTAAAGTGGCATCATAGTTCTTTTTTGCTAAGAAACAATTTTCAGTCACCTCGTGAAACTAATTTTTGTAGTTTGTAAATCATTTCTGCTCCGTCAGATCTTAAAAAAGAGAGGTAAAAATTTGACACTGTTTTTCTTTTTTCTGACTGCAATATTAATTTCTGTACCTTAAAGGAAATATCTATTGCTTCTATGTTTTTCAGAGATTCTAAAAATATATATATTACTAAGTAACAGTCATTTCAATGCATGATATTATAGCGTAGATAAAATCAGTCCAGAAAATCAAGCACATTCATTTTGGACACTTTGGATACACGAGGAACAAGGCAACTGATGTTTAAGTCATCGAAATTTATCTGTGCGCCTAAGACCGTCTACGACCCTTTTCCCACCCATTTTAAAATTTTATCTTTAAAGTGGCTCTTTACGGTAACTGGAATGCAATTTGAAGTGAAAAGAAAATTAAGTATTTTGTATTTTAGATAAATATGCGTCACTACAAAAATAAGCTGCCATTGCCCTGAGGCTTATGTCTTCTCTTTAGTTTTCAAAAGTAAAAATTTCATTGAATCCTGTGGTATCACAATGTATGGCTTTTTCCACAAAACTTGCTAATAAGCTTTAATAAGCTAATTAAGCTTTGCAATATGATGGTCTGGAAAATCAATTTTAAGGTTGCGATGTCCTGGCAAAATTATTAGACGCACTATAAGAATCTGCCGCGTCATGTCTTTCGTTTCCGGCTCAATTCGTCACCTGACTCAATTTTCTTTTTTACACGTCGTACGCTAACTTTAGAAACCTTCAAACTTCGTGATATTTTGCGATTTGAAAATATTTCAGCTTTCACGCGGGCTTTCACTTCGACTTTTTTACATGGTCCGCAACTGACGCCTAGAAAATAACCTTCATACAATCACATTCTTATCCAAATTTTCTTTATTTTTATATTTAAGTGGTTTACGCTTTTACATTTACGCTTTCTTCATTTGTAAATTTAATTTAAAATGATTTTGACCAACATATAAATAAACTGAATGCATCAATATAACAGCATGATACAGGGTTCCAACAAAGATTAGCGATTATTGGTGGTAGCACGCTTAAGTTAAAGCTAATTGGAATTTCTTTGCATGTGGTACCACATTAACATTTAGCGGTCTAGTTAGGACAATATGTTTATAAAGATATATTTTATTTGAAAAATAACATATACTCTTGCACAGAAATGCATTAAATGATCGTAATTCGTCTTTTTACCTCAACAATTTGTTAAAATTTTTAAAACTCATTCTAGTAAATTTTTTTCTCCTTGAAACAAACGAAAATACCAAACTACGCAATCATAGTTTTAACTTATAGATTATGATAACATCGAAAAGATTTCGATATTTTTGGTTATTCTAATATAATGCCAACAACACACGATTCAATAGAATTTTAATACAATTTAATGAAATTATAGTTCTCTTTCAATTTTTTTAGGAAATATTCTGCTGCCTGATGAGTGTGCTGATGATTTAGAGCCAAATCTTATTATCATTGATTTTGAATTCGGGGGATACAACTGTAGGTAGGCATTCTGTTGTTGAAAATATATGGCTAGAACTTCTTGCCTTCTGTTCTTCGCAAAGATTACAAAAAGAAATTAAGGTATTCGATGAACAATCGGGAATATATCTCATGTGTATATCTAACAATGTTGTCCTAACCTCAAAAATGCGTTAACACCATTATTGCATTTTCTAATAAAACTATACATTAATACCATGAAACACAATAACAATTTATGAATTAATATCAAAACAATAAAATCATTAACAATTTATACATTAGTCTAATAACAATAAAAATATTAACTGCTTATATATCAACGTCATAAAAAAAACAGTACATTATCGATTTATGCCTTACCATGACATTAGGCCGTTCATTATACCAATTTTTCAACGCTATTTTCTGCACATTGTTAATAAATGTTATAAAATTAATTGGAAAATTAATATATGCTTGAAATGAAGCAAATTCTGACTAAAAATTTTTTTTATTTGAAAAAGACGGGAAATTCGTAAAATTTTGGATTGCAGCGCAAAATGCCGAGAAGTATTAAAATTTAATATAAGAGTTTGCAAGAGGAAGTATTCTTATTGTTCCATTTTCTAAAATAGTTTTCAAATGCAAATTATTCAATAAATTTAGTTATGTAAATAAACTTTTAAATCAGAGTTAAAGATAGAAAAAAAACAAGAAAACGAATGCTACTTAGCATAAGATGTCGATTTAAGTTTTCTTTCACGGAATGTTTATCAGCTCCTTGATACAAGCCTCTTTGTTTGCATCAACTGTTTCGAAATGATGTCCTTCCATGAGAGCTTTCAACCAAAGACGTAAAAAGCCTGTAGAAGCCAAATCATGACAATTGGCTGCTGGAGAACCATTGGGACCATTGGGTTGGTCAAGAAGTAAGTGACAAAGTTGGACTGGCAAAGCTTTTAACACATTTCTCTCATCAGCAGATTGTTTACGTCATTCGAAGAAACAAAATTCAATCTAACGGTGGTAACAAGCTCTAGTTTTATTGCTGACCTCTTCACGGCCTTCAAAATGTGCATTGTGCCACCGATAGATTTAGTGTTCCGATATACAATCATTACCAAAAAAACGTCCTGGTTTTACCTCGAATAATATTTGGTCAAGGCAAGCTCACCAGTCATTGCGAATTAAATCAGGAAGATGCGTCTTTCGTTTGACAAGCGAGCATAGCGAGGGTGAAAGTACACCTTGGCTCAGAAACACGCAGAGAGATGGCAGCACCACTTATTCGTGAGTCATCACTCCTCCAGTTTAGACATAGATCTAAAGGGAAAGGAAATCTTTTCTAGAACCCTGTACTTTTGGTACTGTTCAATATCAGATTCCACAGATTTTATGAGCACGTATATCGCATGTACTCGGTAGGTCTTACCGGAGACCAATTGTTCTGCCACGGCTCAAAGTCATTTTATCATGAGTAAAGTTTTCATTGCAAAATCCAAGTTTGTTTGAGATTTAACAACCTTCGTATGTTGAAATAAATTCCACAAGAACTCGATTGACCATAAAATTAGTGCAGAATTTTTTTTACAGAATAACGGCTACTACACCTATTTATTTATATGTAGGGGAGAGTGGGGTCAATTGTAACATTTCTTACTTAACTATTTCTTACTTAACTATTTAACTAACGAAAAGTCCAATATATTATTAGTATTGATTGACAGACGAGTAAAGTAGACTATCCTCTACTGGAAAAAAAACACCTTATTTTAAATGTTATTATATTAGTTATTAACAATTTTTGACAGTCGTGCACTTGTTACAATTGTCCCCACTTAAGGGGTCAATTGTAACAGTTCATAAATTCAACTAAAACATAGTTAATTATACATATTATCATAGTTGTGATATATTTTTTTATTGATCAAAATAGTAGTGATATTTTAGGAGTAAAAATAATAATGAGCAGA